CAAATATTTGTTTTATATTAAAGTTTTCTAATAATTTTTTCCATTTTATTTTAAAAGGTCAAAGGTCACTATATAATTAAGTTCAATTTTTAACAAGCTATATAAAGAATGTTTTCAAATTTGCGTCAATAACAATATTTTCTACAAATTTTAGCTGAAATGCAGATTAAAAATTATTGAAAGGTCAAAATCATTTCCTAGAAATGTGACTTAAATTGCAATAATAAAACCATTATTTTTCTGAGGTCAAAGGTCAATGTTTATTTCCAGTATTTTAATACACATACATACAACAAAACATATTCTATTCAAAAATATATTTGATAAAAATGATCTACGTAAATCGCAGAGTTTAAACCTTTTTACTACGAAAAGTTCAAAGGTCATCTTTAGGTTTTTTGGAAATTTAGTGAAAATTTCTCATAAGCTAATAATTTTACATAACCCTTTGAGGTCAAAGCATAATATTTTTAAAACAATATTGCATTTTACTTAAGAGTATATAAAGTTATTTAATGTATCTGAAAATAGAGGGTTCCTTTATAAAGTAATGTGTAAAATCATCAGCAAATTTAGAAAATTATAGAAAATACGAACAAAAAATATGTTTTCTCTGGAAAATCTCATAGAAAGGATCAGTTTTTCCTTTATAAAACCATTTAAAAAATCATAATTTTGGAGGTGTTTCCTGGATTGGTGTAAGTGTTATTAATTGGAAAAAACTTTCCTAAAAATGTATTTTCAATATCACTTTTCACTTTCAAATTCCAACTAAAACACTATGTTCAGCTTTTCGTACTAAAAACTAAAAGTACTCTCATTGTAATCTTTAAAAGTGAGAAATGTACACCTTGTTTTTGTTCTAAGTAGATTAAATTGAAACGAAACATTTGTTTGTTGCTATTTGATGCCCCCAAATGCATTTATGTTAATGCAACTTTTTGTGAGAAACTTAAAACTTTGGCTATTAAGTTTTTTTTTTTTTTTTGTTCAAATCCAAATGTCAGTTTTACATTTTGCTTTAACAGCTACTCAAATTCATTTGCCAGGATAGTTTTTTTTTTCATAGTGTCCTTTCTCATACATACATACATATGTATGTATGTACATCGGAAAATACATCAAGCTTTGTCGTTTCACATTATGCGTAATATTAATGCTTTAAAATGTCCACCCATTAGATACAAATATACATTTATTTCAAAGTAAATCATAGAATTAAAATATTGTTTTTCATGTACTTGCAACATTAATTAGACGAATGAGTATTATTAATTATAAATAATTAAAAATCACTTATACGCAATAGAGGTGGATCAATTCAAAGAATTTGAATTTTGTTTCTTAACTATAGAAAATAATGGGGTGGAGTGCCATTATATTCCATTGAAAATGTATATGTTATTTATATAAAAATTTTACAGTACTTGTTACCATAATTTCAGCGAAAAAGTAAACATTTATTGAAAATAAAATATGATAATAATAATAATAACATCAATACTTTATTTTCCAGGAAATGTGATTTTCGGGAATTTTGCTTGCTAACAAAAGTGTTTTTGAAGACGCAAATTTCCGTGTGTGTGTATTAGCATAGCTCTATAATACGTATGGGCAATTTTATACGATCGTATATAAGATTTTGAATACTACAGAGTGGTATAGATTTTGTATAAATAGATGTTATTGAAAAATAATTTTGTCATGCAGAGAATAGTATATGCAAAAAGCATTCATTACATTCAATATCGTTATCATACATGAGTGAACGTTTTTGGAAGAACATACATGTAACAACGTATGAAAACCTGCGAAGGTACCATATCATTTACTACAACTTATACAGAACGATCTCTGCAACCTTCTCTCCTTCTCTCCGATTGAAATATAGGTAGTTTTTATAAAAAAAGCTCAACTGCTTAGCGGACTCTAATTTTTAGACATAAGTTAGCGTTTCTAATGAATAATTTAGTCAAAAGTTTAGCTTCATTGGCCAACTTGATTTAATCTGAGATCAAATCGAGAATATAATGCTTGAAATAAACACCTTCAATCTTTCGAGTTAAAAATAAATCGAAAATTCTCAAAACAAACGCAGACCAAAAAAGCTCAACAAGAGCTAAAAGGGATTACAATGAGTACTTATCAAAAGGAGCCATAAAAACACAAAACCAAACCCCTCACTAAGGGGCAATGGAATCATTAAATAAACCTAAACCTACCTATCACACAATAGTTTAAAATAATACCATTCCATTCTACCAACCAAAAGCAAAGGTAACCGATATCCTGCATTGACAACCGCTAAAGCTGCTCGCTCGTCTTTATTTTATGTTTGGCCACAAAAGTAAAATATTTTATTACACGTACGACGTGCAGCACAAAAACACGTAAATTGTTTTCATGGACATTTAGTTTGTTAAGCCTTTTGCCAGCATTTAGTTATTGTTGTCATTTTTGCTGATGTTGTTGTTGTTGCACTTAATTGCCTGTTAAAACATACTTAATTTTCATACATTTACTAAGTTTTTTTTTTTCATTGCTGTTGCTATTTGAATCCTTTTTATTATAGTATGGTGTTAATTTCCAACTTCCTACTTTTACTGGGTTGCATTTAAAAAGCATTTAAAACATGTAATTCGAAACAATATTTAATGACATTTATATGTGCAATAACAAAAAGAAGGGATAATGGCAACAACATTAACAATAGCAACAAAAATGAAAGAGGAGTTGTAATGGTTCCATTAGTTCGGGGTGGCTAACTAACTAACTAACTAACTAACTAACTAACTAACTAACTAACTAACTAACTAACTAACTAACTAACTAACTAACTAACTAACTAACTAACTAACTAACTAACTAACTAACTAACTAACTACTAACACTAACTAACTAACTAACTAACTAACTAACTAACTAACTAACTAACTAACTAACTAACTAACTACTAACTAACTAACTAACTAACTAACTAACTACTAACTACTACTAACTAACTAACTAACTACTAACTAACTAACTAAACTAACTACTAACTACTAACTAACTAACTACTAACTAACTAACTAACTACTAACTAACTACTAACTAACTAACTAACTACTAACTAACTACTAACTAACTAACTAACTAACTAACTAACTAACTAACTAACTAACTACTAACTAACTAACTAACTAACTAACTAACTAACTAACTAACTAACTCTAACTAACTAACTAACTAACTAACTAACTAACTAACTAACTAACTAACTAACTAACTAACTAACTACTAACTAACTAACTACTAACTAACTAACTAACTAACTAACTAACTAACTAACTAACTAACTAACTAACTAACTACTAACTAACTACTAACTAACTAACTAACTAACTAACTAACTACTAACTAACTAACTAACTAACTAACTAACTAACTAACTAAACTAACTAACTAACTAACTACTAACTAACTAACTAACTAACTAACTAACTAACTAACTAACTACTAATTAACTAACTAACTAACTAACTAACTAACTAACTAACTAACTAACTAACTAACTAACTAACTAACTAACTAACTAACTAACTAACTAACTAACTAACTAACTAACTAACTAACTAACTAACTACTAACTAACTAACTAACTAACTAACTAACTAACTAACTAACTTACTAACTAACTAACTAACTAACTAACTAACTAACTAACTAACAAACTGACTGACTCACTTCATTACACTACATATGGAGCAATTCTAATTAATTTTTAACCCAGAGATCAATGTATGCTTTTCTAAAGGATTGAGCTGCGTTGCATTCAAATCTGTAGAATTTTTGCATAACATCTGGGATTCGAGATATCGTGTCCTGGAGTTTGGAAAGCGCTATTTCAGGCCTGAAACACCTTATAACAGCTCAATACAACTTTGTGTTTAAAGTGTTGCATTTCATTTGTCAGCTTAATATCTTAATATATATCCTTTCTCCTTAAGATTCAAACCTCAAAAAAGTATAATCTCAGTGTTTCGACAAACCTTTCAAAAAAGTATAATTTTGTCTCCGAGTTTCAACAATTCTTTAAATATATCCGCCTGTATTATTTTTAAATTCCATTTACTTGGAATTGTGATTGAATTTTACCAATTGATGTCTCTTAATTCCACTTACTTACTTAATTTGTAATTGATTAAAAATGTAAATAAAAGTAATCATTACATATTTCCTGTTCCATTTTTTGTAATTTTAGGTGCCATTTTTCAATAAAAAGTCTACAATTACAATTGTACTTAAAACAAACAAATAAACAAAAATTATAATTACTTAATAATTGCGATTAAAAAGTATCGATTACAATTAGTCCTAATGTAATAAGAATTGAAAAGTGATATTGGTCCAGCACATACTGCAATTACATTATATAAATTTGAATTACAATTTCATGTTATTAGCAATTGATCTCACTATCCCCTTAATCCAGCTTGAGTCTAGTCCTGTTAGATTATCATACCTATTACCTGCATTACAAAAAGTACAAAACATGGCTTAAAAGAGATCGATTACCTCCTTGCAAAACTACTGGGTTTCGTTAGGTTAAAATACACTGTGTCAAAAAACTTAAACGAGAAAAGGCAACAAAACATACCTTTTATTATCTTTAACACTCTCTCAAAGTGTCAATGTATATGTGTGCATGTATATGTATCTATTTGTATGTATTTTTGTTACTGTTGTGGGCTATAAATGTTTAAATACGATTATTGTTGGTAGTAAGACCAGCAGCCAACAACAATGATGACATAAAACGTGACCCTTTTCCTGTAACTGTCCGCAGTTCAAAGTAAACGTTACTGCAGTTGCAGCAAACGTTGGAAAATAAAAAAGTTACGCGCGCGCCTTTATTTTAAAAGCCAAGCACGTTTTTTGGGGGGCTTTAACTAGGTTTGAAGGCGAGTTTTATTTAATTTATGAAAATTATATTATTATATTATTAAATAATTATTTACTTTTTTACACCTTTTTATCCTTTTTATACTACTTTGTTAAATTAATATTTATTTATTTTATTTTTAGGAAAATCTTGAGATATTTGTTATTGAGAAATTTTTTTTATTTATATTTATTATTTTTTTACATTTCACAATAATTTTATTTGTTTCCTTTAATTCAGCACTTTCACCAGAAACACACAAGAATTCATCATAATTTATGACTGCGTCTATTACCGGCGTAAGCTTAAAATGTACTGAAATACAAAAACACTCCTTACATGAATTATTTTTCTAGGACTACTACACATTACATTGTATTATTCCTGCTTCGTATTCTGTCGTATTTCTGTTAACGCTAATCGTTTTCATAGAGAGTTTCGTTAAGTTTTTTTTTGTTCTTCCCACTAGCACTAGCGCATGAACTCTCTGTAACAGTTAAACTAAATTTAGGCCGAAGAGATAGAGAGATATAAGAATGTTTTACATTTAAAAAAATAAATAACATTTTATTCGGATAAGGTTAACAGCTAAACTGCCGTAAACATTGAATAATTTATATTTACATATGTATGTATGTGTAAGTGAGAGTATATTCATATCACAAATGAAGTTAAGTGACCTACCTCAAGGATATTAAAAACATTATTTTATAGTTTCCATTTGATGTATACAATTGTTTGTTGTTTGTTAAGGATAATTTTATTAACAGCTCAGAGCTCAGTTAATAATAAATCATTATATGGAAGATGTCTTAATAGGAATATTGTAAATAATCTAATAATAAATGTATGGACTATATAGTAAAAGGTTTGATGTGAGTTATAACTTTAAAAAGTAATGTTAATTATTTTTAAAATGTAAGGATTTTCTAATGAAAAATTAAAAAATCTTAATCTTTTTATCGAAAATCTAGAAATCGGTTTTTAGTTTATTGAAATGCCGGATTTTTAGTGAAAATTGATCTCGAGTAGGTTATTGGTCTGGTAAACCGGAGGTCGAGTGTTCAATTCACACCTGAGGGCCTCGTAAAGAAGTGCACAACAGACCCAATAGGGGCCTAAGTGTATTTCTTTGGAAAAGTCAGATTTTTTGTGAAAAGACAAATTTTTAGTCGATTTTCTTGTCGGAAAATCGGATTTTAGTGAAAAGGCAAATTTTTAGTGAAAATTCAACTTTTCACTAAAAATTTCAGTGAAAAGTCGGATTTTCAGTGATATCGGACTTTTAGTGAAAAGTCAGATGTTTTGTTAAAAAAAAAATAATTTTTAGTGAAAAATTGGAAAATCAGATCTTTTAGTGAAAAATCATGTTTTTAGTGAAAAGTCGGTTTTTCAGTGAAACTTTAGATGTTTTGTTAAAAATAAAAAAGTAAAAGTCAATAGACTAGTCCATAGACCAGTCCATAGACCAGTCCATAGACTAGTCCACAGACTAGTCCATAGACTAGATCATAGACTAGTTCATAGACTAGTCCATATACTAGTCCATAGACTAATTCATAGACTAGTCCATATACTAGTCCATAGACTAGTTTATAGACTAGTCAATAAACTAGTCCTCAGACTAGTCCATAGACTAGTCCATAGACCAGTTCATAGACTAGTCCATAGACTATTTCATAGACTAGTTCATAGACTAGTCCATAGAAGAGTCCATAAACTAGTCCATAAACCAGTTCATAGACTAGTCCATATACTAGTTCATATACTAGTCCATAGACTAGTTCATAGACTAGTCAATAGACTAGTCCTCAGACTAGTCCATAGACTAGTTCGTAGACTAGGTCATAGACTAATTCATAGACTAGTCCATATACTAGTCCATAGACTAGTTCATATACTAGTCCATAGTCTTGTTCATAGACTAGTCAATAGACTAGTCAATAGACTAGTTTATAGACTAGTCCATAGACTACTTCATAGACTAGTCAATAAACTAGATCATAGACTATTCGATAGACTACTTCATAGACTAGTCTATAGACTAGTTGATAGACTAGTCTATAGACTAGTTGATAGACTAGTCTATAGACTAGTTGATAGACTAGTCTATAGAGGAGTTCATAGAAGAGTCTATAGAGGTGTCCATACAGGAGTCCATAGACTAGTCCTTAGACTAGATCATAGACTAGTTCATAGAATAGTTCATGTACTAGTCCATAGACTAGTTCATATACTAATCAATAGACTAGTTCATAGACTAGTCCACAGTGAAATGTCGGATTCGTTTTCAGTGAAAAACCTTTTTTTTTTAAAACTCGAATTTTTAGTGAAAAGTAAAATTTTTTGTTAAAAAACTTATTTTTAGTGAAATCCGATTTACATATACCGATTTTTAGTGAAAAAATTAGACTTTTAGTAAAATAATCTTATTTTTAGAGAAAGTCGGACTTTTAGTCGCTTATGAGTGAAAAGACCAATTTTGAGTGAATAATTGTATTTTAGGTGAAAAATATTATTTTTAGTGAAAAGTTGTATTTTTAGCGAAAAGACGTATTCTTAACGAAAAGTCGTATTTTCATTGAAATGGGGCTTTTAGTCAAAAGTCAAATTTTTTGTTAAACAATGGATTTTGAAAAAAAAAATCGTTTTTTTTTTTGCGAATACTGATTTTATTGTGAAAAGTTTAATTTTAGAGAAAAATGTTTTTTTTTTTTTTTTTTGTGAAAAAAATATTTTTACTTTCTGAAATATCGGATTTTTAGTAAAGCATTTGAAAAGAAAAGATTTTAAGTGAAGAATTTCTATTAAGCAAAAATCTACTTTTGGGAGCAATATTATTTCAAAATAGTTCATTTAGCGAACCCATGAAATATATAGTATATTCTAAATCCTTTTAGATAAGTCCATTTGGCTAGGTCCATCTGTCTGTATGTTGGCTGCAATCAATTTACTGTGGTTTCTAGATATTTTTTGAGGATTTAAATATTTAATAATTCTATCAGACATGATATTATTTCTTTTCTTTTATTATTTATTCAGTGAACATAAAGGTTTGTCCTTTATAAAACCATTTCCTAATAATTCTGTATAATGTTTATTTCCATTACATTAAAATATTTTAAACTTACATTAACATTTTGCCATTAACTATTTATGCAGCTACTTGCTCGTCTCTAATTCACTTGACCTTCGTGCTAATGTCTTTCGTTATAATTTACCAAGGCTTTTGGTCTATTAACTTTCATCAACCTTGTGCATTCTCTGAACTGTTTGCTGGACGTTTGACATTCAGGTGATTGTAAAGAGAAAAACGAAAATGCATTTGTAAATAAAATACATATAGCTTTTAAGGTTAATTGAATTTTCAGACATAATAAATTGACTTTATGTGCATTTATTAATTTTAAAGCAATTATATTTATAAGAACCTAAAAAACCAATGCTAAGAAAATTGAGTTATTGAGAATCAATCCTAAATATAAAAGACTCAACTCTTATAATATAACTTTCTTCGAAATTTAGCACAAGATTCCAAAAGAAAACTGTTTTCTATTATAAAAACTTTTGCTCCAGATTTACTTTTAATTTTATACCTACAACTCCCAACAAATCACTATGTAATGAAACCCACAAATTTATGTCTATTTTTATTGATTTTGCTACAATAAATTAATTTTTTTTTTTCAAAAACAACTTTTGGTAAATAGCAATATGCTTTATTTTACTCCCAAGTTAATTTAATGCCAATAAAAGTGTTTAGCATAAATCGTTAGCAACACATGTTCAATCAAATTATAGAACACTACACTTCTGGCATAACAAAAACTACGGGATATAAATAGGAAAACTTAATATGAAACATATTGAAGATGAATGGATAGATATACATACAAATACAAATGAAAATATGATACGTATCCTGTAAATAGACATACATACATACATACATATGTATTTATATACATCTGTACGTATGTACTTAGGCCTTCTTTTGGCAGCATTTGTATAATAAGTTTTTGAATTGAATGATTTAGTTTGTGTGTAAAACAATAGCATAAATATTTGCTCTCAAAAAAATAAAAATAAACTAGGTAAATTGTTGTGTGTATTGGAAATATTCTAAGCATGTATAACAGTGCATCATCACAAAATAATAACAGATTTATCAGTCTTTCAAAGGTGTGTTACAATAACAAAATCCCTCTCTACTAAATGGGTTAAAGACCCTACAAGTTGATTTTTTGTTTAGGAAAACAAATTTGTGTTTAATGTGTATGAAAGATTAGAAGTCAACGCTTGATACCCTATAGTTATAAAGTTATTTAATTCTTTATCTAGTAAGTTAGTATGTTAATAATTTAGTAAGTTAGTAAGTTAGTATGTTAGTAATTTAGTAAGTTAGTAAGCTAGTAAGTTAGTAAGTTAGTAAGATAGTAAGTTAGTAAGTTAGTAAGTTAGTAAGTTAGTAAGTTAATAAGTTAGTAAGTTAGTAAATATAAGTAGTAAGTTAGTAAGTTAGTTAGTAAGTTAGTAGTTTAAGTTAGTAAGTTAGTAAGTGTAGTTAGTAAGTAAGTTAGTAAGTAAGTAAGTTAGTAAGGTACTAAGTAAGTTAGTAAGTTAGTAAGTTAGTAAGGCTGTAAGTTAGTGAGTTAGTAAATTAGTAAGTCACGTCGTTAGTTAGTTAGTTTGTTAGTTAGTTAGTTAGTTAGTTAGTTAGTTAGTTAGTTCGTTAGTTAGTTGTGTTAGTTTGTTCGTGTTAGTTGTTAGTTCGTTCGTTAGTTAGTTAGTTAGTTAGTTAGTTAGTTAGTTAGTGTTAGTTAGTTAGTTAGTTCGTTCGTTAGTTAGTTCGTTCGTTTCGTTCGTTCGTTAGTTAGTTAGTTCGTTCGTTCGTTCGTTCGTTCGTTCGTTCGTTCGTTCTTTCGTTTCGTTCGTTCGTTCGTTCGTTAGTTCGTTCGTTCGTTATTCGTTCGTTTTCGTTCGTTCGTTCGTTCGTTCGTTCGTTCGTTTCTTCGTTCGTTCGTTCGTTCGTTCGTTCGTTTCGTTCGTTCGTTCGTTCGTTCGTTTCGTTCGTTCTTGTTCGTTCGTTCGTTCGTTCGTTCGTTCGTTCGTTCGTTCGTTCGTTCGTGTTCGTTCGTTCGTTTGTTCGTTTCGTTCGTTTCGTTCGTTGTTCGTTCTTCGTTCGTTCGTTCGTTCGTTCGTTCGTTCGTTCGTTAGTTCGTTCGTTTCGTTCGTTCGTTCGTTCGTTCGTTCGTTC